ATATTATGTTTTTCTTTTTTTTTTTTTTTTTTTTTCAAGCCCAGGGTGCTGTAAAGTCTTCTTTTTTTTTTTTTTAAGCCCAGGGGGCTGTAAAGTCCAAGGGCTAGACCCACGGTGATCGCTGGCAGCGGCACCCAATGGGTGTCCTGACAGGATAGGCCACCTGCCCTACCCTTCCCCACGTTGATACTCCCAGCACGTCCCCGGGCCTCCTCCCTCAGGCGCATGAGGGAAACTAGGGGCCTAAGTGAAAACCCCCAAGGGAAGCCAAATTGCCCCAGCCAGTTTTGAAAAAGGCCTGGTCAGGCGGAGGCTGGGTACTGGCCAGGCAGGCAATTTTTTTTTTTTTCTTTTTTTCCTTTTTTTTTGTCTATGTTTGTTATCTGTATTTTTTTCACCTCTGAAGGGATGAAGAGCGGTACTCAGTGGACGACCCTTCCCGCCGGGCGCAGGAAAAATCTTTATCGTGTGGGCGGTTCCAATCTTAGGATGAAGAGCAGTACTCAGTGGACAACCCGCAGGGTGTCCCAGTCCCGACGAACTGTGTGTCGAGAAGATTTGCGCGATTCATTTCCTTTTGGTTTCGTTCCGTTTTGTTTTGTTGTCTTGCGCCGCTGCGTGCGTTTCACTTACACGCAGCGTGTACGCGTGAAAAAAATGTTAGAATACAAGTACATAGCATCCCCTCGGGCGGAAAGAAGACAAGACAGGACATGCGCCTGCGGATTCCTGCTGCTTTTTTTTTGTGTGTGTGTGGTTTTGCTGCAGGTATTTTGCCGTCTTGCACCGCCGAGTGCATTTCACTTTCGGGATGGGTGCGCGTGAAAGAAAAAGAAACTTTGGATACTTGGGAGTAATCAATGCTGGCGGGCGGACCGGGGCGGTGCAATTCATCTGTCTTTTTTTCTTTTTTCTGTGCATTCTGTACTGGGACCGATGGACTCGTTTTCCAGCAGGGATCAGTTCTGCTGCCCACTAATGCAACAGAGCGATGGACGGCTTTACTGATTAAAAAAAAAAAAAAAAAAAAAAACGTGCCGTCAGGCGGAAAGAAGACAAGATGGGCCATGCCCTTGCGGTTTTCCGCTGGTTTGAAAGAAAAAGAAGAAGAAAAAAAAGTGTCCCGTCTGGTGTGGTGGAAAGAAGACACAGAACACGACACGCGCTTGGAGTTTTCCGCTGGACACGCGCTCGCAGTTTTCCGCTGGGACCCGCGAATGTCCGAATAGAAGTCTGTAGCAGCCCTCGATACATTAGTTATCCATCCAGTGCTGAACTGTCATCATGTATCTGGGCTGTTTTTATGCAACAGATACATTTAACTGGGATTAGGCTATTTCGGGGGAGGGTTTCTTTTAACCGTTTTTTACTTCCCTGAGATATCACGCTCTCGTTCCAACTGCTTGAACACTTGAATGTTTTGGGACCATTTCCAACTCGATGTATCTGGATGTTCAGCAAGTCCAGATACATCCAGGGGGTACAGCGTTTTCAGAATGCCGGACCCTCAGGAGATACAAATTTGAGATTTTCTGGGTCAAAAAAAAAAAAAAAGGTC